CCTTGCCGGGAGGGCGGGGAGGAGCGAAGGGGCCTAGACGGCTCCGCGAAAGCTGTGGCTCCTGCTGCCGGTGAGAGAGGCGGCCGGGGTGGACTGGCCGGACAGCGAACCCTGTTCCCAGAACAGCCCGAGGAAGCGGCCTAGAGGGTGGACAGACAGAGGGCAGGAAGGGCCATCATGCTCCCACTGCTGCACCCCGCCTTGCCGCTGCTCCTGGGCGCCACGCTGACCTTCCGGGCGCTCCGGCGCGCGCTGTGTCGCCTACCCCTGCCTGCGCACGTGCGCACCGACCCCCTGCGCACTTGGCGCTGGCACAACCTACTCGTCTCTTTCGCGCACTCTATTGTGTCAGGGATCTGGGCGCTGCTGTGGTGAGTGAGCAACTGGGGGAGTGAGGTGGCCAGGGGATCCCGTATGGGGTGCTGGGACTGGCTTCCGAGTTACTATTCTCATCACTCTCGGCCAGCAGAGGCCTTGGTGCTCACCTGATTCCCTGTTTGGAAAACTACCCAACCAGGAGCAGCCCAGGGAAACCAGAGGCACCTGGGTTTCGGCCAAGCCCCTCCTCGTTGCCTAGTCAGCCAATAGCGCGAGTCCAGACTGCCCTGGGATTGGCAAGGGTTTCGGGGAGGAGGGTCTTTGGGGATGCCTAAATGGAGAGACCTCCCTTTTTCTCTCCTTCCCAGTTTATGGCAGACCCCGGAGATGCTGGTAGAGATTGAGACAGCATGGTCACTTTCAGGCTATTTGCTTGTTTGCTTCTCCGCAGGTAAGTCTTGCCCATGAAACCTCAGGTAAGTGGAGAAAAAGAGTTTCTTTTCTGCCCCTTGTGACCTCTTCTATCCCTCCATTAGGGTATTTCATCCATGACACAGTGGATATTGTGGTTAGTCATCAGGCTCGAGCTTCTTGGGAATACCTTGTTCATCATGTTATGGTAAGTGAGAAGCCCTCAAAGTGTTATAGGCCTGGTGTTGGTAACCTAGCCTTGTATTTCTAAACCTAGGAGAGAAGGCCATTCCCAGCCTAGTCCCTAGCCCTGCAACCTGCTTCTTTAGCTAGAATGCCGAGGTTGGCTCCTTCTTTGTATCCTTGCTCACCCAGTCAATTCCTGGGTTCACCTGTTAACTCAGTAAATAGACTGGAAACTCATAGCCAGAACTAATGGAGAGGGATCAAAATCTAATTGTATTTAATGAGAAAAAAACATCCATGCAAGCTTTTATTCCACAAGAAATTGGGAATCATTTTCCAATTCCCATTTTGGTTGGTGGTCTTGTAACACCAGGAAAGCCCTGGCACCCAGATTCCCAGCCCTTTCCTCTCACTTGTCCTCTAGGCCATGGGTGCCTTCTTCTCAGGCATCTTTTGGAGCAGCTTTGTAGGTGGGGGTGTTCTAACACTACTGGTGGAAGTCAGCAACATCTTCCTCACCATCCGCATGATGATGAAGATCAACAATGCCCAGGATCTTCTCCTCTACAGGGTCAACAAGTATGTCAACTTGGTCATGTACTTTCTCTTCCGCCTGGCGCCTCAGGCCTACCTCACCAATTTCTTCCTGCAGTATGCAGGTCAGAGGACCCTGGGAACCTTTCTATTGGGCATCCTGCTCATGCTGGATGTAATGATCCTCATCTACTTTTCCCGCCTCCTCCGTTCTGACTTCTGCCCTGGACTGGTCCCTGGCCAGCAACACAAAGACAAATTTTTGACTGAATGAGGTGTAGAGCTTGGAACCTGTGACAAGGACAGCAAGCAAAATCAAGGACAGAAGCAGCCTCACACATAAGCAGACTCTGCACTAAGTTTGGGGCCAACCTTTCCACCTCAAATCAGCACCTGCACTATTGAAAACACTAATGAAAACACTCCTCTGAAGTCGTGATTTCTTGGGCAAGGGGTGAGGGAAGCAGACAGACTGGTTGGACATGTAGGTGGTTGTGAAGACTAGGCACTACCCCAGTTGCAGCCAACCCACATTGCCCTGAAATGGATGCAACTCTATTATAAAAATCCTTCTCTCCCTGTGGTACTGGTTTCTCATACAACCTTTCAGGGATAAGAGTCTCATTATAACAAGTATGGTGGCTTGATAGGCCAAGGGTTCAGGTTATCCCTGGAGACCTGTTACCTTGGTGTATTTTACTATCTGACCTTCCCCAGCCCAAACAAAAGACAAGAAGCATATATATGTTGGAAAAAAGAAAGTATATTTAGAATTAGACAGCTGGATTTTGTTTAGATGATCCCAATCTGAAAAACAAAAGGGAGCTTTGTTATTGGAACTGAAATGTCATGTTTTTAAAAAGGAGGGTAGGGCTTATCAAGGATAGGGGTGCAGTCAGTCAGTTGTCATAACTAATCAGCAAGTCAGGCTTTGGTCACTAACAGACACATCACTTACACCCAGGGAATGGGTATTACAGTTTGTAGCAAAAGAAGCAAGCTTACTTTGTTGGCAACGTCCAAAGCATCATAATCAGGAGCCAGTCGAACATATGCCTTTTTCTCTCCATCAGGCCTGGGTGGAGAAGGAAGTCTTAGTCCTTGCTGATCTCATGTCCCTACCTCCCCACATACCCTTTCCCCATCCCCTAATCCTCTGGTGCATCAGTGGTTCCTTTGTTCATGTCATTCTTTTCCAAATAGTGAATTTTCCATCATTTGCACCGAGGGGTTAGAAAAGCCAAACAAAACAAAAAACAATTCTTTTTATTGGAAACACTACATTCAAGACATAAACCAGGTAATCTGACAAACTGCTTTGTCTCCTCTACAAATTGATGTAGGGAACCAGAATTTGACTAACCTCATGAACAATATCTTAAGATAATTTCCTCAGGTCTACACTCCATAAAAAGGATTATAATTATAGCAGGGAGTTTGTACACTGTAAAATCAATGTCTGACCTCCATAGCTCCAGCCTCCTCCCTCCCATTCCATGGGGCACCACTCACCTGATCAGGGTGTTAACCTTGGCCACATCGATGTCATAGAGCTTCTTTACAGCTTGTTTGATCTGGTGTTTGTTTGCCTTGACATCCACAATAAACACAAGTGTGTTGTTGTCTTCAATCTTCTTCATGGCTGACTCAGTGGTCAGAGGGAATTTGATGATGGCATAGTGGTCAAGCCTAGGGGAAGAAGCAAACTGCAGTCACCTGGCCTAGGTAGGCCCAGTATGAGAAAGGATGGGCCTTCCTTTGGAACCCTAGGCCAATACAGCATAGGTGCATCAGACAATAAGTAGCAATCAGTTTCATCAGACTTTGGTCGCTAAATGCTGTCATCAGCTGCACCCTGAATCTTAGGGATCTTAATTCTCGGCCTGTAGGTAGATCCTTTATGCATTTTGTTTAACTGGAGGGCTTGCATCCTTAAATGACTGAAGATTCACCTTTTACTTGAACCCTTTCATTTGATAGTTTCATATTGGTGCTTCACTATGAGCCTGGACCAAACATTTCATCTACCTCTGTTTGCTAAAAAGTGGCAGTACTCAAGAGTTAATCTTTTTCTTTTTTTGTATTTGGGATTGGAACCAAGGGTGCTTTACCACTGAGCTACATCCCCAGGTGGCATGGAACTTGCAGTCCTCCTGCCTCAGACTCCCAGAATTGCTGGGATTTTTGTTTGTACCAAGGATTGAAGCCAGGGGCACTGACCAGCCCTTTTTGAGACAGGATCATGCTAAGTTGCTTTGAGTGGTCTCAATCTTGGATCCTCCTACCTCAGTCTCCAGAGTTGCTAAGACTTCAAGCATGCACAACCATGCTGGCTGGGAGCTACTTAAGACCAACTTTTTATTGGTTAAGTGGACAAAACCAGGCTCTGCTCAGCCAGTCACTATTTTCCTGTTTTGAAGCAAGGTCAGGACTCATCTCTTATCACACTAAATTCTTATCTCTTAATTTCTGTTTTTCTTTTTTTTAAAATTGTGGTATATATGTGTAATAAGTCTTTTGCCAATTTTTTAAAGATAGAGAGAATTTTTTTTTAATATTTATTTTTTAGTTCTCGGCAGACACAACATCTTTGTTGGTATGCGGTGCTGAGAATCGAACCCAGGCCGCACGCATTCCAGGCTAGCGCGCTACCAGTTGAGCCACATCCCCAGCCCTTAATTTCTGTTTTTCAACAGCTTTTACCCCTTCCCCAGAACCTTTCCTGAGCCTAGCCTGAACTTTGGGAGTGAATGAAATTCCTTTACACTGCTGGCAGGCTATCACTGCCACAAATAAAAATTACTGAATTCTTCTGGGCACACTGGCACACACCTATAATGCCAGCAGCTCAGGAGGCTGAGACAGGACGATGGACATCTTAAAGCAAGCCTAAGCAATGGCATGGTGCTAAGCAACTAGGTTAGATTCTGTAAATAAATAATATAATCATTCTATCTACTAAAAAACCAGCACACATTCTCACTCTTAAGCAATAGGTCACCCAGGACCACACACACCTGTAACCACACCAACTTGGGAGGCTGAGGCAAGAGTTGTTCAAGGCCAGCCTCAGCAGCTTAGCAAAAACCCAATCTCAAAAAAGGGCTAGGATATAGCTCAGAAGTAAATTGGCCCTGGGTTCAACAACAACAAAACCCCCCATAAGTAATAGGTGTCACCAGCAAGTAACTAAAATTGGAACTACAAAATAAGAAGCACCTCTCTAGTTCTACTTCATACAACCAATAAAGTGGTCTTTCAAACTCTGACCACATGTGAAGTGATAAGTGATTCAAATAAAAATTGATTGATTGTATATTGCCTTAATTCCCGTCAATAATGCAAAACGTCTCTTGTTCTGAGCCGGATACAGTGGCAAATACCTGCAATCCCGGCTACTTAGGTCGTGGAAGCAGGGGGACCACAAGATCGAAGGCAGTTTTGGCAACTTATCAAGATCCTCTCAAAAATAACAATAAAGGATAGGCATTGTAGCTCCGTGGTAGAGGGTTTGCCTAGCAGACAAGAAAGGCCTTATGTTCAATTCCCATAAAACAGTTTCCTCGTTCTTAGTTAGGGCAGAAAGAAATCTCACATCAGAGGAGCACACCGAATATCAATGTGTTGGAGAGGCCATACTCCAGGTTGCCTAAATCACCAATGAAAAATATTCTCATGGGTGTAGGAGCAGTACTGACTTGTTTCTCCTGGGGGCGCTCTTCCGAGGATATTTGGGCTGCCTCCGGAGCCTCAATGTCTTGGGTCGCCGGAAGGTAGGTGACGTGCGGATCTTCTTCTTTTTATGACTGTGGACACCCTTCAACACTGCTTTCTTGGCTTTCAAAGCTTTTGCTTTGGCTTCAGCTTTGGGAGGGGCAGGAGCTGGGAGAGAAGGAAAAAAAAAAAAAGGGTGCTAATTCAGAAATTGGTCACTTCCGGCCTCAGGACGGGTGCCTCTGTCAACACGTGCATCAGTGGTTCCTTTGAAAACTTCATAAATCTCAGGAGATCACGATTTTTCCATCATATGCACGATACCAGAAGCGAAGATAATCAACTTGGAACAACTTAAAGGATACAAGGGAAAAACCCAACTAGTACTGATCGAACGCCCAAATTTTGCCGAGATCTGTGTTAAAGAGTTTTATACATACCATCATGTAACTCCGAAGGAGAGGGGCATATAGCCCCGCTGAATACGTCAAAATAATGAGTAATGCTGAAAAAGCTTAATTCCTTATATATCTGGATATATCTGTGACTGCGTGTAGCTCCCCAGAGTCAATTGTCTGGCCTCACTGGCGGATGATGCGAGAAATGTTCTCTCAAACCCCCTTACTGGAATCCAGCCCATGCGGCTTGGTCCACGCGGCCCACATACGCTTCAGTTTCGCCCAACCCCAGGAAGCGGCTCCGGGGAAAGTTCTCCAGGAGCTTAGCTCAACCACTGTCCTCCCAGGCCGTTCGTTCTGCTCACATCCCAGGAAAACCCACCGCGGTCCCCAGCCCTAACACACACCTTCCTTCTTAGCTTTCGGCGCCATCTTGGTGAAAAGGGTCTACGAGGCCCGGTCCCATGGGCTTATAGTGCCAAATCTCATTGAAGACTCGCGATGCTGTTTACTTAGAGATTATTGGATAACCTGTGCAGTATGGCCTTCTGGGAATTATAGTTGGATGTCCTTGCTGGCAGAGATACGCATGCGCCACCCCGCCCCTCGTAAGGCCGCAAAGCTTCTTGGAAGTTGTAGTTTTTCAGATGTGTGTTTCTTTGCTTGGCCTGTGGATAGGTCCCTGGTGCTTTCCATCTTGAGCAAATAACAATGTCTGCTGAAGAGGTTTGCAGCGCCAGGAGAAGAGTAACAACTGCAAACTAGATGAAATATTGTTAGACTGATTAAGGAGCGGGTGAGGGCTGGAGATGTGGCTCAAGCAGTAGCGCGCTCGCTTGGCATGCGTGCGGCCCGAGTTCGATCCTCAGCACCACATACCAACAAAGA